ATTGCAGAGGCACACAGCCTCTGGAGAACACACGAGGAGACCCTGTTGTTCTCCTCTAACATTTCCGGCTTCCCTCTTTTGTTCAAAAAGGCATGGCCTCCTCTGTACCGTATGTAAATTATGGGAGTGCCCCTATCGGAGAGGAGGAAGATTTACGACTGTGGGAACCTGCTGTTTTGGCTGAGTGCAAACCGTGTAAAAGCTTCTATCAGATTTACAACTTTTCTTTAAATGCCTGCGTGTGACAGAATTTTTAAAGACTCTTCACCTGAACGCTAATCTAAACACAGGCAGAAAACTCAGGTTTGGCTACAAGACCAGAGCGTTTTCTTTACCCTTAGAGGAGGGACATTTATTATCCTCTCTGGGGAGAACCCCAAGGTCACACAAAGGCTGAGGCACACACTCTGACCCTGTACATATGGATTTGCACTCTGTTTTTTAAATATAGACCACTACAGACTAAATTATTTTTAATGAATTCCTGCTAGTATGTTAAAGAAAAATATTCTACTGATGACAATATATTGATTAAATCAAGAATGTAATTTTAACCTAAATTTGGGCCTATTTGAAACAATATTAATTTTGTCCAATATTTAAACTTGTGATTAAAATTAACACCAGCATTAAAACTAGCATAATAAAGCTAATAATTCCACTGCTGAACATGATAATTCATGTACCTAAAACACATTATTTTTACATCAACTTATAAGTTTTGTGAACTTCTCCAATTAAAATTACTTCAAGGCAGAGACTCAGCCTGGTCCACATTCTCAGGTGATAAAGACTCCTGGTATAAATTTATTTTTTAACTATTGTAATTAATAGGACAAATTAATTTAATCAAAGAATGTCATGAATATGTGTGAATGTTTTCCATCTTAAGTAGGGCTGCACTGATTGCAGTTTTCTGGCCGATTGGCTATTATCAATCTTTGAAAATCCTTACCTGTTTATTTTGATTTTGGCCGATAGCAATTTTTTTTGTCTGAAATGTTGCCAAATATAGCAAAAAAGTTGCTGAGTTGGCAACAGTGGGGTGACTAATTTCAGACATGACCTGATGGGCAGGTCTGTAAGTCAACCATCTCACTGCAGAGCAGGACAGTGGCTAATTTTTAAACCTCTCCTGAGCTGGATGAGATCATGGGATAAGGTTGTCTTCACATGTAAGTATCGGTTGATCACCAATCCTCCAAAGTTATGGAAGTCGGTGCTAATAAATCAGTCAATAAATGGAGACTTACAAGAACACCACAGTATAAGTTGGCCCACATTTTCACATGAAGAAACACAATAATTAAAGGGGCAGTATTATGTAAAATTGACTTTTTTGAGCATTACACCATGTTAATCCCTCATCAGAAACATAAGAAATTCTTTAATTTCCCGTGGCAACCATTCAGCTGTGCAAAATGCCAAATTAGGGACACATTCCCCCTATTTGGTGCCTTCTATAGATAAAAAAAAAATAGTACAACAGGACTTATGTGGTGGTTGAGACAACAAATTGGACAGGACGGTCCTTGGTGGAATATGCATCAACTGGCATTAGTGGCCATTAAGACCAAGAGCAGTTTGGGGTAAATTTGAAACCAAACTGAATACCTTAGCTAACCTTTTTTTCATCCATTCGATATCTGAGATTTGGTTTCCAGGTCCAGGAAGAAAGCACTGGGGATGAACCAATATGGAAACTTGGGCAAATTTCAATTACCGATATAAATATTGCTGTTATGGCAGATAACTGAAATCTACCTATTTATATATAGCTAAATGTCAGTGTAGTATATTAAACAAGTCATTACTCTTTTGACGCTGTAGTGACTATTTATCCTCAAAACTTAAATTCAAAAATAAAAAACTCAAGACTCAAAGGTGATCAAAACAAAAGGTGAATCTTACTCAAATAGTCACCTGATGCACCATGGATTCTAGTTTACGCAGCCCAAAAAGATCAAAAGTCAAAATGCAGTTCTTTCTTTGTTTTATTCCATTGTTTGGACAAAAAAGTTACAGGCTTCATAGACTGATGACTGACTGGTTGACTGAAGTGACTGATGACTGGTAAAAAAATCCTGTGACCACCCACATGCATAAAAAGCTACCTAAGACCCACCTATTTATACCATGAAACACCCATGTCCCAACCTGAAATTAATTAACTAATTAAGTGAATTACTAACCAAAGAACTTATTCGAACAAATTAAACAAAAATTCTAATGATAAATCAACTACAAAATAAACAAAAAATAAGAATAAACTAACCAATTCAAATTCTAAGATTTAACTGAAAATAGAGAAATAGCTCCTACAGACGCCTTGTAAAACCTTCCACACTACGCTGACTTCACCATTGTTTCTCTACTCCAGTTAAACTCCCCACAGTCCTTTGCTCACTACCACTGTCACATGACTAAGTCCACCAACTCCCCAGCCCCACCTCCATCCACACACTCCCTCCTAATTCCTGCAACAAGATGAAAATAAAAATTTGGTGTGAATATTGGTTCAAGTTTATACATCAAATTGATGCTAATAAGTTAAGAAAGGACTAATATATTCTGATTCTAATCAGTGCCGATTTATTGTGGATCTCTGCTTTTATTACTTTTTGTCTTCTGTTAATTATTGCTTTATTGATTGATCATGTTTCTTTTTAAATCTGCTAAAAATACGACATGATTTCCCATCTGCCAAATTAAAACCAGAAGTAATGAAGAACCTGAAATGTTTGGGGGGAAATTCCCAGAGACTGTGCCTATGCCTCTGTGTAGGTTTGTCACTGTGTGAAACGCCTTTTTGTTGTCTGGCTGCAGGATCTGTTGGCAGGAATCTGGCCAACAAGCCCAATGTCTACATATCAAGCAGTGCTGGAGCCCGGTGGAAAGAGGTCAGTACAAATTGTGACGATATCAGGAACACACAGGGAATACACAGGCAATAAAAAAATAACACATTGTAATCATTGTACTGCCCAGAAAGGTACATAAGCTTCTGCATTTTGGTGTTGGTACTAAACCCAGCAGGGTTCTTTTCTCTTCCAGACAAAGAAAATAACTCATTTATATCAGACTTTTCCAAATAATTGCAGAAACATTGCATGATGTTTTTGTTTTTAGTTGCAGTGCTGCTAAAAGAGTTTTAAGAGTTTCAGGATATCTAGAAGTTAATCTCCCTACAGGGCCATGAAATAAAGTGGAAACATGACATTACATATTAATGTTTCCTTATTGTGTTTATATGTAATTAAACCAGCATCCTGAAGCAGTGAAGTGGAAAAACAACTTCTGTACACCATTAAATGTAATGCAACCGTAGCAAAATGGTCTTTATGGCTAAGAGCAGCTGATTAGCATCTCAAAAGCTTAAATAATACCTGAACTATGAATCCCAGAGGAGTTGAAAAGAAAGAGAGAGAAGTAGGAAATTCAGACCATCTCTTCCATTCATCAGAACAGACAAGAACCATTTACTGACTCCAATGTCTTTCTAACCATACAGTATAACACTTACTCCTACCAACTCTTCCAAAACAAACTGTTCTGACTTGTTACTGCTATACTTACATTTTCCATATAGCACTAGCAAGTTTTGTAAGGTCTCTTAAGGCGATATGAATTTTGATTATGATAGGGTCTGGCCTACTCACTAGGGCTGTTGAAAACGAATATTTTAGTAATCGAGTAATCAATTGATTATTCTTATGATTAATCAAGTAAACAGATAAAAAAAGATAAAGTAAAACATTGGTAAATCTAGCATAACTGCAGTATTACTATTGCATATCAACATCAGTCCAATTTTTCATATTTGAGCTAACAATAACTTTTCTGTAGTTTAGAAAATTAACCTGTAATAATAATAGCTCACTTTCTAAGTTAACCTGAAGAAAAGTTATACAAAAATCTGAAATTATATTCAGTGTAATAATAAAGAGGCAGGCTCACAAATATGCTTATAAAAGTGTCTATACTCCAGCTTTCCATTGATGTATTCATCTTCAGTCAGTTTAATAGGTGAACTCTCACCAGCCATTTATAGCTTTTGTGTTCATGCTAGCAACGGGATTTGTACGGAGTCCTCCAGGGGACATGGGGAATTTTTTTTCTTTTGCATTCCCTCGCAAAACCTTTGCGTCCCCTCACAAAAGGTTTTGGGTTCCCTCACAATAATCTACTGATCAGTTAATGCTGAATAATAGAATACTGTAAGCCTTTCTTACGGGCCGCCGTACTTTCTGCTTTAATACAAGGTTATGTAAGGTTTTTCCATGAATGTTGATATCTCGTTGTGAAATATCTGACGTTTTATATATTTTTTCATTTTTATAGAAAGGCACAACAAACCTATGATATAAACAGAAACTTTCCGTAAGTACGCTGTAAAATAAAAAGTCAGTAAATTTAAGGTAAAAAATTGTAAAATACCAACAATTTCTGACTATAAAATCCAAAACATTTTGTTACCATAGAAAATGCATAGAATTACCGTAAGTCAAAAACTGCAAAACAAAAAAAAACAAAAACAAAAAAAAAAAGTCCGTAAATTTACGGTAAAAAATTGTGAAATACCAACAGTTACTGACTGTAATATCCAGGGGTGAAAGTAGGGGGGTATGGCAGGGTACTGCATACCCCTAAAAGATTTAGCGGGGGTACCTGCAAGAAAATGGAGCGGCTATCTGCTGTAAAAAGTCAGTGGGATCACTGTGCAGCTGTGACTGCACCCACTAATCAGCTGTGACTGATTAGTTTGTCAAGAACAATCCAAAACACGACTTAATCAGTTAATAAATAGCTTCCCCCCGTCCATTTCATATTCTTTTTGAACTGTTCTTTGTTAGAGTAGGGGTGTGATACGTTGATCGCAGAAGGTTTTGAGTCGAACTGGACGCTGAGCATCCTGGCGGCGTTCAGCGTCCTGAACGCCGCCAGGACGCTGAGACCAGCACGTCCTCGTCTGGCTCCTTATCAAAACGTTAACTTTATTAAAGAACAACAACAAAAAGTCAACAAAATGTTTTCAAATTAATGACCCCAAAAAAATAATAATCTCTGATTTCAACAAGGTGTTGCACAATTCTTTGCATTTCGGTTCCATTATCAAAATAACTAGCAGAGCAGGAGTTTAAAATTAACTAATCAACCACTGCTGTGTTCATGAGAGGCTTATTAATAATCGCAAAATAAATATCAAGCCTGAAAACCTGATATCGTAACGGACTAAATGTTTTAAACGTAATCTGTGCTCTGCTCGAGGAGTGAGCAGTTGCCACGGCAACAGGTGTGCTTAAACGAGAAAGAGAGAGAGAGAAAAAAGATGCGAGTGGTTTTGAGTTGGTCACCTGTTCGGGTTGTTTTACCTTTGCTGCGGCGCATCACAACCGCTGTAGTTTCTGAACGTTCAATAAACGACAAACTTGGACTAATTACCTCGTTCGTCTGTTACTATACGTCATTCACAACAAACATCAAACACGGTAAATATGTTTCATTAAGTATTTAACAAACAAATGGCTTCTATCGCGATAATTATCTGAAATTAAATTGTCTAATTCAAAAATAATAATTTTATTGCTCTCTGGCATCTTTCTTTGAGCTCAGAGTCTGAGAGGCTTTTCCTGTATCCATTTTTTTTGCTTCTTATTTAGTGGAAATATTGATAAATATTGAAATAATAACCTTTTTCAATCTTCATAGCACCAATGTTGAAAATGAGGAGCTAACATTCATAAATGACATTGAAATAAAATTCAGTCTGGTTGGAGGGATTCCTCTGGAACCTGTTGGAGGAAAAATATCCCAACTTCAGAAGATGAGCTTTTTAACTTAATAGAGCTCTGTGG